ATTGCCAAACATATGAATTAAGGCATATACAGTATAAAAAAGCAACAGCAGGTTTGATATTTATACGGTTTGAGTGTGTTATTAAATGGATACACCAGGTGGATGAACTGAACTTACCAAGCAGCCTGTAGAAGACAACACTGTGTCTCGTGACAGCATTTTGTAAACAGAGTTCATAGCACTATATTCAAGTAATAGAATGATCACTGATACTATGCAGGTAAGGTGTTGTGTAAGTGAGGCAGAGCTGCTGAAAGACACGGGTTCACACATGCACTTTTATTATCAGCCGTGTTGAAGGAAATTCACTGTGTGCGTCCTCATGTTGCGTTTTTACAACATCTGGACGTTACTGTAAAGTTGTGAGGTCGTAGCAGTTTCCACATGATGTGAACGCAGCATCAGGACGTCCAGTTAAAGCAACACTGGACTGTGTCTCTGGGTTCGTGTCGGCGGTTGTGCAAAAATAAATAGAATCATTTTGTACGATGTGTCACCAACGATGCAAAGCGAGGAATATGTTTGTCCAAATATCTGGCGACAGATCAGCACCATTTTAGACGTCGACAATAAGCGTCTGTCGCCAACAAGCGTCTGTCGCCAACTCTCTGGTGCCCCCTAGAGGCGTCCTCCAGTAACACGTCCAGCACCAATGATCTCATTACAGGAGCCAGGTCTCCAGTGGTTAAAAACCAACAGCACCAGATTTCAGAATGTGGGTAAAATAAAAGATTGTCGTGTCTATCAGAGGCTCTGCACTGAGCTAGTTAGCTTGTAGAGGGCATGGGAGCAGAGGCAGGGCAAAGGATTGTGGGACTTTGGAGAAGACGGGGTCACGGACGGTATTTAGCCATTTTACTTGAAGCTCATTTCAGTTTGTGTTTTTCTTCTGCGTTCTCCACCTGTTTCTTATCTTTTAATCACGATGAGCAGTTTCCTCTATTCTGTCGTAACAAGTCATGACTTGGTCGCGGTCAATCAGAGAACGTCAGTTTAGAATAGGTGCGTTTGAAATTTGTTCTCCAACTGAATTATTAAATATGAAAATGCTTTTATCACAATGGACCCTTTCACACCTTGTTGGGTTCAGACACCTTCAGACTTTTCAGTTTAGACCGAACCCAAACATCAGGTGTGACAACTGACAACGCGTCTACAAACCAATCAGAGCCAAGTATAGGTAGACGACGCCCACGTAGGTGATGACGACGGGACGTACGTATGTCAGACAAAATTCTCTAGTTCCGAAATCACAAAGTGAAACTGAAAATAACAGATCAGATGAAATGAAACACATGAAGCTTGGTTCATGTTAAGTTTGAAAAGAAAGAAATAAAAACCGAGCCCTGCGGTCGGAGTGAAATCTCTCCCACATGCAGCTGCAGATGAAGTGAAGCTCCCTGACAGACCCGGCTGCTTCCTCTGCTCCGCCTGCTGCTCCCCTGCATGGCTGATGGAGATCAACATAGAGTACGATAAAGCATGTTAGTGCTCCGCCATGAATCTGTACAGAATATTTACACCGCTGGGTTCCTACATGGCACTGGGCAGGTCGATGTGAAGTTTACTCTCACATAAAGACAATACAATCAACATGGTTACGCTCAAGTACAGGTTAGTAATACAAATGTAGCGTCAGCACTATGGAGGGAGGAGGACCACTTCAATAATCATCATGAGAATAATAAGGAGAATAATAGACTTTTTAGCTTCCTACTGCTGTTTCCCAATAGAAGTTTTTAAAAACCATCAACACTATTGGGATAAATGAAGTCATCATCATTACATTCAGTCATATCATCGTCATAATACACTACGATAAATGTGCATTTCATAAAGAGCTGCGTGCGCTGCGCTCTGGGATGTTTTGTTTCGTACGCGTCGCCTGCATCCGTCCAAACTCTGCCAAACTGAAGCTTGAAAAGTTTGTGATTCAGGATTTATACAGGAAGTTCAACAAGGTCCACATCCTGTCCTGTCCATTCACCCGTCCATCCCTCTGTCCGTCCATCTGCTCCTGGGAGACGTGTTATAAAACAGGTGGTTGTCATTAGAAATGAAAGAGTTTTTTTTTTCTTGTTCTCTGCCTCTCAGCGAGGCGAAGCTTATTCAACACCATGGAATTGATGTCTGATAAATCTGCCGTTCCTCATGTGAGACGTGGTCACATGGTCCTACTTCTTCCCTTCGGCCTCTGTGGAGACAAGAGGACAAAACGGAACTCAAAGCAAATCCTGCAGCGAGAGGACAACATCAAATACAAGACAATTGTTTCCACAGACTGAAAATAAAGATGTCTCCACTTCTTTCCATCGTACGAAGACAAGTTGAAGCATTTTGGACACGGGAGCTTTAGGAACATCTGGAGTCAGAGTCTGTGCTGCAGTGATCATGGAGGGAACCCGAGGTATCGAGGTGGCGCTGAAACACGAGCTCGACCAATCACGAGTCAATCTCAGCTGTCAATCACGACGCGTCAGCCCGTCTCTGTGAGGGAACTTAGAGTTTCCTTCATCTACGTGTTTTTGCAGGTGGCATCATATAGCACATGTGCTAACATGGAGGAGGCGGGGTTTATGACCTGTACAGCAGCCACTCACCAGGGGGCGAACAAATACACACTAGAGCATCGACCATGAATAAAGATGGACGACATGACAGCTCACAAAAGTGAAGCCAAAGTGTCCAGATCTCCCCCTGGTGGCTGGCTGCAGTATAAGTCACAAACCTCCTCCATGTTACCTCGGACACTGCACGTCCTCCGACTCAAAATGATGTCATCACCACAAGATGGCAGCGTTCGTATCAGAGAGTGTCAAACATCGTTCTTTACAGTGTGACTCATCGTGGCGTCTCGTCCACGTCACCACAAACAGGATTTTGTAAAAAGAAAGAGAAAAGTTAAGATTTGTTGTTTCATCATAAAGAGATCAGTCATTTCTTCAGCCGTCAGGAGACACGAGAGAACTATCGCTGCTTCTGTTTGACTGTTCATCTTCTTCACTCCTCTTCTGCTCTGTGTTCCACCGTCAGCATCACTCCTGTTAATCTCCTCTCTTTCACACCAATTACCATTTATAGAGAAGTCTGTGCACCAGTACGTTCATCATCACATTATGTTGTTTCAGTGCTCGCCAGGTTCCCTCGCCATTATTTCACACCTCCAAACAAAGCCAGTGATTTATCGCCTATGAAAATATATGGAAAACACGGCAGAGTGGAAAATGATCTACACGATGATAATTCCAGCAACAAGGCGGCGGCTGTTCGTCCCGAGAGGTTCAGATATTAGATTTATTTAGAAGACGAGACAATTCTCCGACTCATTTCTCTCTCGCTTTACATTTCATAAGACACAATTTAAGTCAGTTCACTTCACGAGACGAACAGTGAACAGTTCGTCCTGGAGTTTGGATCAAGGCTGAGATCACACCAGAGAAGAAGAAGCTGGAAAAGACGCCACAACCAGGTGAAAAACACGCAAGTGTTGTGTGTTTGTGTCACAGGCCGATCGTTCGGGGCTGTGCGTGTTAGCGAGCTGTGTTTTCTCTTAACTCGCTGTTAAATCTGACATTTAGAAAAGGCCGTTGTTTAATGAGCGTTCTTGCTCAATTTAACCAGTGACAGCAGCAACATTCTGAACTCAGCTCGGTTCAAGTGCGACAATGACGATTAAAGGAAGTCGTGTTCAGCGGAACAATAATGAACCTGGTAAGTTCTACATGTAACTTCATCATTACATCTAATTTAACGTGTTTTACATTGAGTGAAACTCCACCATCGCTCCTACACAGACTCTGAATGACCTCATCACCTGAAGATGACAGTGCTGAGGTGTTTTCATTTACAGTCGATGTTTGAGTGTAAACTTTACACACAGAAGAGTGTAAACTTTACACACAGCAGTTTTCACATCATTTCCCATCAGACTTCTACATATGAGACATTTTTCTTTGTTTCCTGTAACAAGTGTCAAAGTGGAAACCAGTGTTTGTGCAGAGTGAAGAAGAATCTGGGTTTTAAAGCTTCGTTTCAGGGGCACGTTCAAGATACAACTGTGTTTTCTAAAATTCAGAAACTGTGCTGCTCTTCAAAATAGTGCAAGTAAAATAACAAATTGAGAGCGAACAGCGGATTCACGGCGTCACGGTGTTTTAAACCTACCGGTAGAGGAGTGTCCTGACACCTGCTGACTGGAGACCAGCGACCTGGAGCTCAACCCTTCAACACAAAGTGAGATTTTCATCATATCCTGAACAGATCGACTGAATCAAAGGTTGAGACTTAAACTATCAAGAGAACCCGAGCGGTTCACACCTGATGTTCTGGTTCAGACTGAACTAAAGGTCTGAACCTAACGATGTGTGAAAGAGCCTCGTCTCTTCTTTGTGTTTAACACTCTCTGATTTAAAGCAGCGGTGTGACGTGTTGGTGGCTCCACCGTGCAGTCGTACCTTGGTAGATGTCGTACTGCCCCGACATCAGGTTGTAGCTCATACCCAAGTGTGTGTGGTGGTGTGTGTGGAGGTGTCGGGCGAACGACACGTGGTTCCTCTCTCTCTCCGTCTCTCGCTCTCCCTCCGGGGAACCCTTCTCTCCAGGCTGTGGAAACACACACACACACGCACACACACACACACACACACACACACACACACACACACACACACACACAC